TTGATCGTCAATGCTTTTTGCAAGTCTGCTGTGCAGGGGAGAGAACCAGTGGAAAAAAACGTTGTATTTTTCTGTTCCATAAAAAACATTTTTAAAGTTTAAGTTTCTGTTTTTTATACTTCCTTCAAAAAAAATAGTATTGGAGGAGTTGGTGTGGACTAAGAGGATAGGCTGGAGAAGGAAATGGGTTTGGAGGGGAAGAGAAAAAGAGAGTCCCCTAAGATTGTTGTGATTGATTGGTTTTGCTGGAAAAATAGCCTTATTCAGCTTTTGCGGGGGCAACGCCCATTGCACTTTAAAGTACACAAAACCACCGCTGACAACTGCTGCGGCTTCAACCCGGGCACAATGTACTCACGCGCCGACATGCTCATAGTCGTACTTAAATGAGCATAAGTATCGGTGGTAGAGTGGATCAGATGTTGGCTGAGGTTAGTGATTTTTGCGCGACTTTGCCCAGACCGGAGTTGTAACTGTTTCTGATGGAGCCGGTAAGTGCAGGCTTAGAAGGTAGCACTCAATGGTTTATCGGTGTGGTAGAAAAAGGCAAGAGAAAAATGGATGGGCTTAGAAAATTCAGAGATGAAAAGATGTGTGTTGTTTTCCTTTGCGAAGAATTTTTATTGCTCAAAATGCGTACTGAACTATGGTTATGACTTTGAATTATTTGTTTAACTAAATAACAATGAATTTTTCATATTGATTTCAAATGATGCAATGAAAAAAATTAATAGTTTTTTTTGTTTTTTTTTTCTGTTATAATTTTATTTCGTTTTACGTATCTGTACAAGTGAAATATGACTTTTAAACTGGCCTAATAAGTGTGTATTTAAGTAAATAACGATGAAATTATACCATATATTCAGGCAACAAAAATAGTAGGTGCTTGAAGTGTCAGTACCGTCCACAAGCAAAGGTAAAAAACTGGATTTTGTACAGAAGAATGAAAAACAAAAAAAAGGGGCTGAAAACAACAGAAATTATTTGTTTTTGCTTTGCGATGTCGTATTTTTAGACTCTTAGCCACGAAGCTTTGCAGAACTGCTCAGTAACGGTTTCATTTTTATAATAATATATAGTAGGTAGGGAAATGAGGTTTGGCTTTAGCCCTTTTCTCAGTTATTATCTTTTTTTTTCTGTCATTCGTATTTTTGATCATAAAATTTTTAGAAGTCAAAAAAAAAAAGTTTTGTAGAGCATTGAAAAGTGCATTCCACGTGCCATATTTCGTCAAATTTTTCAATATTTTGCACACGTATTAATGTAGGCATATGTCTGTTATATCTGTGGTGTAATTATTGGTAGATGTGTGAACATATGTGTGTGTGTATCAGTGCGTATCACTATGGATTTTCTTCCTCAGTATCTGTATACCGGCTTGTCTTTACGTTATTCAACACAGCGTTGTCCTCTCCAATACCGAAGCTGCAGTAGTAGTGCGTTTATGTGGAAGTAAGTGTGGAACTTATTTGCTGCGTGAACGTAAAATAAGCGAATGTAAAAGATTGAAAAGTGCTGACTTTGGTGTACTTGCACTACTGACGCTCTGTGTGAAACCTGTGAAACGTTATGCGTGAAAATGTCGCAATGTATGCGTTTCACGTTTTTTGTTTTTTAACCGCACTATTTACCATTCCGTATCTTCAAATGAACCATAAAGCTCCAACTTCTTAACTGTCGTCCTTTGCTTACCTAAGTAAGAGACGCTTTGCTCAGTCAAAATGACACGCATCAGGAACAGAATGCTCGACGACGCCACAAATCATGTTTCCGTCACTTCTTTCGCTTACTTCGTTTTTGCCCTACACTTCCAGCTTTTTCTGATTTTTCAAAATTTACTTGCATTAATTTTTTCCAGTTTTTCAAGTGATTTATTGGTTTGCAAAACCATTTAAAACAATCATTTTATTTTGAACGTCATTATTTTGTCGATATTTATTTTAATTGGTCATTATGACTTCTTTTTTACTTTCACAGCTCGTGATCGTCCAGTTTTGTAGCTACACGTTTCTTTTTTGTTTTGTTCATTTTCAGACGGTATTAAATGATGGCCTCACAGCCGTCGCCACCAGCGGATCCGCTACAGTTTCAAACTTCTGACGATTGCATTAGACAACCGATTATTATCACAATTTCGTCTTCTTCATCACTGTCGACGTTACCAACGACGACAACAGCGATTTCGACAACAGTTACCACATCAACACCAACCACAGCGTCTGCAGTTGTTCCAGATGAATCATCCAAAAACTGTAAACTGTATGAGCTGATTGCTAATTCTGATGAAGAATCTGAACTGAAGAAACTCTGTGATGAAGAGATCGATGTGGCCGTATGTGGTACATCGACAGTTAATTCTAAAATTCCCGATACAGTTCAAGAAACGTCTGTTTCGACCAGTAGCAGTTGTGGTTCAGTGCTGCAGAATTCTATTCTGCGCAATAGGGGTGGACGGAAAAAGCATGATGAAGATAGATATGAGACAAAGAGTGATTCACATTTTCATCCGTACGCAAATCCGTCATCGCCGCAGCCTGTAATCCACAGGTCAGTGGTCAAAAGCTGTACAGACCTTCGCTCAACTGCACCAGTACTTTATGATTTACTTAGCGACGATTGTGATGTGGAAAACCGTGATAGGATTAACAGTGTCAGTCGTACAGTATTGCCGGAGCCAAATTTGAATGTATCATTGGAAAACAACAATTTACTTAGACCGTTAAGTGTTCAAATGCCATTTGTATCGTCGCCTGGTCTACCAACTTTACCTGCAATAAACCAGTTTCCTGCCTCGTATATTAGTACTCTTTTACAGCAAAATTTATTGCAAACCTACTCGTCAGTTAATATGCTGAAAACAACTCAAGCAGCAAACTACTTAGAGGATTTGCCCTCTGTAACACCAATTTTACCATCTGTATTGCGCGACGTTTTGGCATTCGATGACGATACAAAAAAAGTAAGTAGTGATTTTTTTTTTTTTTTTGCACT